ATCCAGGGGAAATGTATAAAGAGTCCTGATCGGTTGTCGAATGAATCCAAGCGGGAGATGTGAATAGAGAGTATCACGAACATTTTGCAAAATAAAGAGCCTGTAAATATGATCGGTAGACAGAGAAGGTGTGGAACACTGAAACGAATTGACCCAACGGTTGTACAGGCAAACCCGATAGGCGCCACAATAGTGCTGAAAAGAAGAGGATAAACAAAGAAAAGGGAAAATATTTTGTGGTACAGTGCAAGTACAAAAAGGGAATCAACAATTGAGATGAAAAGAGGGCTGTAGAAAATGCTGACAAAAGTGAATAGAAAAGACTTTGAACTCACTATTACGAGAGGATGCAGAACCACCGGCAGCATATGATTTGCTGGAAATACACATAGAAGTAGCTAAATTCGTCTAAAGCACATTTAAGATTGTGGTGTAGTGGTTAAGGTGTCGAGTTTACACGCTGCACTGTCATGCTTCGACTCGTGCTGGGAGTGTTGATGTAGCATAAGCGAGGTCCTTCGAGATTGCAGTCCATTCTGGATAAGAACACCTTTTTGGAAAGCAAGACATTGTGAAATTCCTTAGAAACGTCAGCTATACTCATACCGTTATTGGAAAATTCATCTACCTGTCCTTCATCACCGTAAACGAAATAGGATGAACACAACTCAAATTAAGTCGTATGATATTACTTTGTCCCTGGGCAGCTGACAAAAGTTCAGCACGGATTGTTTGGCATCACACGAAGACAGTGTGAATTTATCAGGAGCTTCTCTAAAGGCCAGTCTTTCTTCGAACCTTAAACGCGGGGATCATCGTCTGATTCGACGGGACTTAGAGGATGCGGTTGAAGATGAATCTGAAGTCTCACATACAGGACTCGAATGTCGAATGGGTGAGGTGACATGGAACCTGTAGACAAGAGTTTTCGACTGAATCGTGCAATGAATGCCGTCGCCTTCAACTCGTCTTGGGCAGAGTCACTGTTCCCTTCTGGTCACAATAAACTGCAGCAGTCTGGAAACAATTCGATTGGTACAGCAGTTTGTGTTTATGTCTTGATATTCGGCGTCATTGTCAACGAAGGTAGGTGGTGATTGGAAATCGAAAGTCTTTATGTATTTTCGTCTGATCAGACATGCCGACTGCAGGGTTGTTTGTCTACTTCAAGTGGATAAGCTGGCCGACAAAGACCTAAGAAAACCGTTCCTTTTGTCAGTTCATGTGGGGCCGATTGGGTAATGTATAGACAGAACATGATGATAGACCTGATTGTGTCTGCAATTGTGTGTGAATTTGGGTGTAGACGTCAGATTTTCGTTTATTAGTTTATTTACAAGTTGATTTTTCCCACAATAATATTAGTAGACCATACGGTTTGAGTGAATTTCACATAGCCTTGCGCCCCGAAAGGTGCTCTCGTCCAGATAAGAGTGGGCCGAGCATCGACCTCGCCTAGCTCACATCAGCGCCCCAGCGGGACTCGAACCCAGGTTTTGGTAGTGCAGCGTCCAATCTAGAAATGTTACCCAATACTCCATACTGCCAAGAGTGCCCTTGGGCCATAGGACACACATTTCCCCAACTCACATCCTGTGGTGGGGATGTCGATGAAGCAAAGTTGTATTTGCCATATGAGATTAATTCTTCCCGCTTCGTTTAATGTTATGATTATGATGAAAACTGAACATACAAAAGGCAACACCATCCTAATCTTCATACCTTTGAATATAATTTAAATTAATCGAAGATTTCACCACAGAATGAGGTATGATCTTTCTTGATATGAACATCTGCCCTATGACCAAAGAGAACTTATGGCAACTTAATGTAATGGTTGTCATGTCGGCATTATACGCTGCACTCCCACAATCCGGGTTCGTCTCCCGCTGGAAGTGCTGTAGAGGCCTAGACGCAATTGAAACTGCAGTCCAGCCAGGGAAAGAAGACCTTTTTGGAGGCAAGACCATGTAAAAGTTAATTGGAACGTAGGGCCTGGTCATCTGATTTTGGGAAAATTTGGCTACCTGTTCTTCATTAGCTTAGGCAAACTGGAATGAATACAGCTTTCAAACACAATCTGAATGGATGTCTTTACTTCCTCTACAAATGCACAAACTGTATCGAGTTCCTAATTAAGATCTACTGACAGTTTCGAAGCCTTCTCTTCTGGAGCCTTAACAAACAGGGGACAGGACAAATTGGCCGACAGACTTAAGCAATTCTACAGCTCATACTCAGATAGAAGTTAATTGACCCTGCAATATATATTATACATTTGATTATACTTAGATAGTTGAATTTTCACACAATCATATGAATAGGTCCCACATTCCCATTACATTTCGCATAGCCCTGCTTCCCAGAGTTTATGTGAGATAAGATGGAAACATGTGTGAAAATGCACCGTATGGTGCAAGTTTTAATGCTATTCGCAATATCCTACTTTATCTGAATATAAGTAACGTAGTCGACTGTAATGGAAAAATAGAGTTCCGCCATGTCGACAATCCCACCTTGAAATGTGATATGGAAGAAGTGTGCCCTTCTTTAGAATTCACGTCTGGGGTAATGGTGACATGTCAAGATCATTGTCTGCCTTACTCGGTCTTGATTTCCGTTGGGGTTGCTAAGGCGACCGGTTGGGAAGAGGTCGAAACGGCATTTCCGTCCGGCAGAGGTGGTGATCACTTTTAGGAAGCAAGGCCGCGGAAAATTCGATTGCGAATTTAGACCTACGCATATGCTAGTGGTAAAATCCAACCATCTATCAGGCTAGGATGACTAGTATTCCTAATTCAATTCTGTAGCTATTGTCTTCCGTTGCCGGCCATCTCTTTGCATCTAAAATGAATGCCAGTGAAACAGTCAGTTCCTTGTAGGCATGACGGATAGCGAGGCTTGCGTCGAAAAGCAGCTCGGTGGCATCGTTATTTCAGACTGCTGCTTGTTTATTCTGTCCGT